CATCTGCCCTACATCTGTCCTACATCTGTCCTACATATGTCCTACATCTATCCTACACCTGCCTTACATCTGTCTTAAATCTGTCCTACATCTGTCAGAAAGGGGGGCAGACCTGCAGACCTCTCCTAAATCAGGTCCTTACACGTTTATAGCTTTGATTCATTGGTTAAAACAAGAGCAGAGCTCAAACATGGAGGTCAGAGTTAAAGTTTTGTTTTTACGTGAAGGTTAACAATCAAAACATTTCAGGAATAAATGGTGAAACCTGGAGGAGAAGGGTTAGTGTCAGCTGTAGACGACAGATTAAAACACAAAACAACCAGAAAACAGCACAAACATAAAAACTGAATCCACCTTCAGATAAAAAAGAACCCAGAGAGTTCCAGTTAGAAGCAGAAAAAGTGCCTCAAAGCTGTGAAGAAGGAAGAATGAGTTCAGATTAAAACATCACAAAAGTACAGAGAGACACCTCCAGTCACCGGGAAGAAGAAAGTCCACCTTCAGGACTGTAAAGGTCCCCTGAGGAGAACTGGACCTCTTCACCATCGTGTGAGACACAAAGGTCCAAGGAATGGACTCTGTTTGATCACATTTACAAACACTGAGTCCTTTAAACCTTCAGGATCAGATCCGGATCAGGATCAGGATCAGGAGTTAGTCTGGTTAATTCAGTGAACCCTCCTGCTGCCCTTGGGTCAAAATGATCAAAAGCAGCGAAGTGAAAGAGAAACCAGAGGAGTGTTTTTACTGCGGTTGAGGTTAAAGGATGTGAGTTAAAGCTGTTAATAGAGACAGGTTCATCAGGAGGAGGGGTCCGTTTGTGGTTCTGACTGACCCGGCGGGCTGGACTGCGGCCCCTGGAGTCGGAGACCCTGACAGGGCTCCTGCTGGGGCTCTCCCTCCGCATCACCACCGGCTCAGAGTACTCTGGCTCTGGGACGCAGGTGATGCGGACTCGGGGGACGTGAAGGTGGTCCCTGATGGGGCTGACGTGGGCGGGGTACGAGGGGGGGCGGGGCTTGGGAGGTTTGTAACCCGGGAGCTGCAGGAGCTGGTCCAGGTCCATGTCCCGGTTTAGCTTGAAGGAGTGGTACTTCTTTTGAGGGAGGCGGGGGGAGTTGCTCTGAGCTCGACGCATCACCTGAGGGGCAGGTTGTTTACAAAACAACAAGTAAACAAAAACATGTAAACAGGAAGTAGGAAAGTGGTCCACCAATGAAATCTGAGGTTTTCTTTTTCGTAAAACATTAATTTTGATCCATGTTAGAAACAACTCCTGCTCCCACGGAAGATCTCCTTCTCCCTGCTTGCTCCATTATTGTCCTGCATTATTATCCTTTGTCCAGTTTGTCCACTGTTGGACATGTCCAAACCTACCCAGTCTCACTCATGTCTAATCTTGTCTGTTCTGGTCCAACCAACATCTGAACATCTTCATCTCTGGCTCCCCTCCACTTCACCTCGCTCACCTCACCTGCTCCCAACTGTCACTACAGACCTGCATGAGGACATGTGTCCTCACCTGTCCACCTGTCCATCACCACTGATGTGATCCCACCCCCACAATGACACATCAGCCTCTCCTTTAGGACACACTGTAACACACCTGACTTTGTCTCACAGTCCTCAGGTGTCCTCAGACTCTCTGAACGTCTCCATCATCTCCACCACAGAAATACACTGAAGGGACAACCACAGCAAAGTCTATGCTAACAAGGCAAGTGTCCATGCCGCCATCTTGGTAGGTGCTATGTGGTGTCCTTAACTGCTGCCAAAAAGTCAGCAGTCCATAAACATCTGGATGAAAACAATAAATAACCTAACTTTTTACAATTTATTGTTATAATTATTGGAACCTTAACAGAAAGGAATGTGGCGTTATACTTTTATTATGTAAATATTAGTCTAACTGTGTATTGTTATGTCAGTGGTTGTCTCCAGACTTGTCTTGGGGGTCAGTATGAACAAACTAAATGAAAAAATGAACATAGACATTAGTAACATAAAATTTTAAATATTAAATAATAGTTTACAGACCTGTTTATGGATAAATAATTATAAGTGAATTAGAGTTTAACTCAGTTATTTATGTGTACTGTAAATACTGAAGTGCATGACATTATATGAGGATACATATTTTAAGAGTTATCAAAAAAAAAAAAACATTATTTAAGTTTAAGTTATTAGTCTAAATTAATCTGGTAGCAGAGCTCTGATAGGCTAGCATATAAAGTACTGAACTTTACATGTTCTGGTCAGAATGGGTCATTTTATGGGTCCACACCCGTTATGACGCTCAGTACAGAATCCGTCTGTCCCATGAGTTTACGACATACACAATATTTAAGTTAAAACATATATATATATCTATC